CTCAAAAAAAGAGCTGTGAACCTACTCAAGCAAATAAAGAATTCAGCTAAGATTGCCAGAGATTTGGCTATTGAAAATGGAAGAGATTATTTTGGCCTGAAAAGTTTTTGAGAGTTGTCATTAGTCAGCTGCTGTAAGCCTAAATAAATCCTCAGTGTGGATACAAAGGGCTATCTGATAGCCCAGAAGGCATTTTGTGGTCTCCCCAGGCTTGGCCCAGGGCTGAAAGGAACTGTTTGGAAATTGTCATGTTCTCACTGTTCTCTCCCCTCCAAAAAATGATTTTTAAAAAGATGAAATTTAAAAGCTGAAATAAAAATCATAGTAAACTGTTCAAATACACCCATATCTTTCAAAATAGGAGACTCTTTTCTCATATAATTTTAAAGTCTTTTACATCAGCATTAACATATCATGTTTTGCAACCTTTATTATTTGTCATTCTCTGTGATGTGCACATGTTTGAGGGTGGGGCAAAACAGAAGCAGATAGTAGAGAAATAATCTGCTCCAGGTAATGCTGACTTGCCCTGTGCTGAGTTGAGAGCCACTGTTCTAATGTTAATAGATGTTAAGTTAATAAGCAAATGCAACTGCAGTTTTCTATGTTAGCCAATTGAGTTAACCTTTAATAGTCAGCTTAGCTGCTTGCTTCAGCATCCTTCAAGACTCCTGTGTGTAACTACTGAACACACATTTGCATTCCAGCCCTACCAGTTTCTGGGACTAACCAGTTTTTTGAAACTGGAATGTGAATGAGCCCTTGGTTAGTAGGCTGTCAACTCAATCCCAACTCCTTATTCCTACAGGTACTGCTGCATTCTTCTAGCATGTCCTGCTCCTGGTGACCAAGCCCAACTTCCTATAACCTGGAGCCTGCTTTGGACTTTGCCTTGTATCTGGGTCCTCCTGCCCATCACCTGACTCCTCTTGACCTCTGTTTCTCTGATAATACCTGCAGCTCTTTGTTGTCCTCCAGGTCACCTGCTGCACCTTGGCAGGTGTCTCTCTTATCTCTAGTCTCATCTGGCTCACCTTGGCTGCACCTGCGCCCTATGTCTGATGTGATCAACCACAGGTAATGTTTTAAAAATATCAAATATCAAGGCTAGAAATGCCCTTTTATGTACTAACCAATGTAAATGAAATTTTAGCTTATTCTTTTTATAGGTCTTTCCAGCTAATTAATAGGTATCTTGATAAAGCACAGTACACTTAGCCCACTACCTGGATCCTCATTACTGGCACTCTTAGACTTTGTAGCAATGACTGGGCTATATCTTCTTGCATGTTCTTTGACTTCAATAGATCAGTGATCCTACTAGCCCTGGTGGCTTAGGTTATCTTTCCACAGGAATTCAAATTACACCTGAGGTATCTTGGTGGTTATATTTGTGGCTTATTATTACATGATGAGTTTTATTTTCTATCTGAAAATTTAATAATGTTTTCCAAAAGAAGTGGTTCTTTTGAAATAGCAACGTAGGTTTCAAATGCCAAGCTTGAAATCGATAAAAATGCTTTCCCCTCCATTCTAACATAAAATAAATACCTCAGTAAAAGTAACTTATTGCTATTGAATAACTTAAACAAATTCAGACAACTTTAGGCTCCATATAAAGTTTTACAGGGACTTATAAAACCTCATTTTACAATGTATTAAACTATAGAAAAAGTTTAATGAACAAGTTACTTTGAGGATAAGGTGCACCTGACCCAAGCCATGGTCTCATCAATAGCCTCATATGCATGTGAAAGCTGGACAGTGAAAAGAAAGAAGAAGAAGGCATGCATTTGAATTTGAACTGTGGTGTTGGCAAAGAATACTGAATATACGGTGGACTGCTTAAAGAATGAATATCAGTCTTGGACCAGCCACTCCTCGGAAGGAAGGTTAGGCAATCCTACTTCCGTAGTGATA